AAAGAAAAAACAAAACCACACATTTACCAACACACCATTCATCAAAGCAGCCACAAAGGGAGTGGCAAGGAGAACAGAAGTGAAATGGATTAAATACAGTAGTTAGAAATGCTGGCTCCTCTCAAAACAGGTGACTAGAGGGCTCTATAGAAAGGCAGGATCAGAGTGCAAGAGGCCACAGAGAGACAACAATGTAGGTCTTATCTCCCATCATCTTGTGCAAAACTATCAAATGAATAACATCACTCCCACAATATGGGGCAGTGGTCAGCAACCTAGACAGTTAGTTCACGACTTAGAAGTAATGCAAAAACACCTTGTGAGGGGCGAGAATTCAAACTAGCATCCTTAAAAAACAGAAACTAAACAAAACCAACAACATTGTAGCCCTTAACACGATCACTCAGCATCTTTGGACCCATTTTACCAGAGACGAAAGCTTGAAATGTATGATCTAAAAATGATATTGCCAGAGGCAGTCCTATAATACTGTCTCCCGCTCTCCACAGTGAGAAAGAAAAGGACATTTAATTCCCTTTACAGACATAAATCTCTAGTCCTTTCACTCTTCACAAAAAAAAAAAAATCTTCCGATTATGCTACATTTTAAGAAGGCACACAATAGAAATTATATGCAAGAAAAAAAAAATAGTGCAGATTACTAAATGCAAACACATAATGAAACTGGCCTGCGTGACTCTACCCCACGGTCAGTACTGAGTAGGGTAAGCCATTCAAGTTTTACCACCAACAGTAAACTGAGGTAATTTGTGTTGACTAAAAAAAGTAACACTTTAACAATAAATAATGGGGGTACATGAGAAAAGGAACATTACTACAGTGTTTTTTATTTATTTATTTTTTAATGTTTTTTTTATTTTTTACAATAAACTTGTTTGTGAAAGACAGAAATCCTTTTTAATGATTAATAACCCATATCTATAGGTTTCAGGTCAGCTGCAAAGATGATCATGTCCATTTCTAACAGCGAATTAATAGGGAGGATACTGAAATATGCATATTTTTAAAGGACTATCATAGCCACAAACAGTGCAAATTCCTCTGCCCATTTTTTTTTTTAATTGGTTATCAGACAAAAGCTTTTTGGGCAGCTATCAGTTAACTGTACAACAGGAGCTATGCTATATATAAAAATGTACTTTTATTTTCAATCCTGAATTTAAAAAATGGGTGATGACTGAAAACCCAAAAGAAAATACTGCTCTACTTCATTATATACATTTAATTTTGTAATGACAAACATGTTCAAAATACATTAGTTGAAACTCCAGTCAAAACATACTGTCAAAACATATTTAAACAGATTAGATTTGCCTTCCAAAATGCTAACTGCTTAGGTGAATCAAATTTCTGTCCCTAAGGTTGGAATCATTCAGGGCCTGCAAGTCTACACCATCCTATATCACTTGGGTACTTCCAACCTGCTGGTTGATGAATGGCGATGGTGAATAAGTACCATCTCACTGGTGCTGTCCTTTTACAGGCTTTATCCTTCCTAAATGTTTGCCTGGAAACCCCCCCCAGACCCAATGCCTGAAAATCTGTAAGCCTGACAAGTCTAGCAGTTATGTGCAAACATTTTGGGGAATTGTACTCAGAATAGTTTATATACAAAATACATAACTGGGGCAATTTTACATCTGCTTGGGAGTCCTGCTTTAAAATAAGCCGCCACTTACAAAACCAAAGTTCATTCTATCCTGTATTAAAAATTTAGTTATAAACTATATTAATCCAGTTTTCACTTCATTCACAAAAACTGTAACATATTATCAAGTTTCTCCAATCCATGGAATTGACTGTAAAGCACCAAGAAAAAAAAAAATATTTAGAGGCAAACTGATCATTTAGCGCTTAGGTGCAATGTAAGGCAAACTCCTACCGCTTCAGCCAATACTAACAGTATTTATGCTGCTGCAGGTAACCTGTGGAGCAGGCATGAAAATCCTATAACACTGGTACAAAAGCTTGAATATGTGCAACAATATGTGGACAAACTAGTAGATTTATCCAATTATTTCAGAAAAACTAAATAAATTCACAAAAAGGAGAGTACAGTGCACTAGTGCCAAACTAATATGCCATATGGAATGTGGAATGTGGAATAGGGATCATTGATCCCTGCACATCAAGTGGTCCAATGTCAGGGCCTATTATAAGAACATCATATATGAAGAAAAAAAGGAGGGGGGGAGGTGGACAGTAAAAGTGCAGCTTTTTTGGTTAATGCCTCTTGTAGCTCCATGGATTTGCATATCATGCTTACAGACCATCAATAATTAGTAGCAGTAATGGTTAGACAAAATTTCCATTGGCAGAATTCTATTATGAGCAATGTGGGAGATAAAGGTGCCAATTCATTTGAGGTTAATGAAGAATGGAAACTGTGTTTAACGACATTTCTCACATTTAGTCTTCAGGTATATATAAAGGTTAGGGCAAAGTCTGCTGGAAACTTTCTTCCAGCACACATTCCTACACTCTCAGGTAAAAGACAAGGGGGGAAGTTATCAATGTCGTTGCATCATCAGCGTCTCTCAAACTGTCGTATCGCTTATTTCTAGTGCATGTAGAGACAGATTTATTATCTTAGTTGTTTCATTCCTAAATGCCTTCATAAGGAGAATTGTCTCTAAACTGTCGCAAGCTTGCTGGGAACCTCCTGGATGACAGCTGAGTCACCTTTACGATAGTTTAGTTTCAAGAGCACTTCTAGGATGTGGGTCTGTTAGGTCTTTTAGTCGCAAATGCTGTAAACAAATACTGCACAGTTTAATGACCATGTGAAATGTCACAAAACATGTGCAGTGAGTGGCAAACATTAATATGTTGCAAGAACACAAACACAAAAAAAGGGACGCATTAAAACTCTGCGGTTAATCAGCATGACATTATGGTCTTTGCGCCTAAAAATTTTGTCGCAAGCGTGTTCATAAATTCTCCCCAAGGTTTCTACAGGTGTGTCAGGTTTTAGACAGTGGAATAGATGAAATATGCCCTTTATCTGCAAAGCCAGTAAGCAGGATGTGTACCTCACCAACTGCACATGACATCCTACAAAAAACAGGTATAGCAATTGCGCTCTGTGTAGCTTGTAACCTGTTCAGCATACAGGGGTAATCAGACTACAGCTCTCAGTCCTATAGTTGGATTTTAATGCCAAAACATACATGTTTACTATATTGTTCTACTGTTTAGCAGGTAAAACTGTTTGTCACATTTTGCTTTTTTATGGAATTTTGGTTTTACAGTCTTTGTCCTGTCCCACAGAGTTGGGTGTCTGAAAGACAAAATTTAGTTAGGTTCGAATTATCCCTCTCTGGCATGCGCGGAAATAACCAATATGTGTTGAGAAATCATTATTTATATACACGTATGCCCGACGCCTGCATTTGCATTCGTACGTGCATGTACATGTGGGCAGGAAGCTATTGCATTTTGTTGGGCTGGCTTTCATTTTATTATAATTGATTTTTTTTCCGTTAAATGTACTGCCATCAGAAGGAAGATAACAAACCCCCTATGACATAGACAACAGGTTCTACTTAAGGAGACATCAGGGGTCTATTACACCCCTAACGTCCCTCTGCAGTCAAAGGATAATCTGAGCTCAATCTACTATTTACCTTAACACAGCAGCCAGGGTTTGACAGCTCTGTACCAGGAAGTACTTAGCGCTGAGCACTGCTGGGTTCAAAAAAACAAATTAAACTCTTGGATGCCCCAGGAGAGAAAGGATAGCCCAGGACGCATGGAGGAGGGGGGGGGTACACTTTCATATTCATTGTGAAATTGTAGGGCGTCTTTACAGCCATCCGTAATCAAATTAATAACAATAATACAAAAATAATTAAAAGAAAGCAGGCAGCCTGCAGAACAAAATTTAATGTCTGTTTACATTACATAAAGTATCCCTTTGCTGCGACGGTTCAATTTGGTGTAATAAAATGAGGGGTAAAGATTTGACAGCATTTCTCTTGCCTTGGATTTATGGTAACAAGATGGCTGTTGATGCTTGTAGTTTCTTCCTAATGTATTAATTTATCAAAATTTTAGAGACTCTGGGGGGTGATCATCTTGAAGCACTGACAAAGTACCCATCGTTACCAAAAAAATATTTTTTTTTTTGAGAAAGACAAAAAAACTATTAATTTTTAGAGGTTAAACAAATGACAGCCTTTACACATATATATTATAAAAGAAGGCTAAATGTTTCTGGCAGATAACTGGTACACTGAAAAACAATGTACTTAAAAAGGAGAGGAACATGATATGTCAATTTGGAGAATATCTCCAAAATGCCATCTTATACATTACTTCTCAACCACCTTTGAACTTGCGCACCACACAGTAAACAATTAAGTGAATTTTCTGAAGCTACCATGCAACATTAAAATCGTTTTTTAAAACTGGATTATTTAAAATGTAAAATTTCATCTCATTTTGAACTATTTTAGCTAAAGAATAGGATGTATAAAGTGAATCAAGTATTCAGTCATTTATTTACTTTTCTTCAAAATATCACTTTGCGACATCTTAAGAAATTGTTTCCCTTGATCATTTTGCTGGTGAAATGCAGTAGGACACAAAAATATTTAACTTTTTAAAACGTTACACTAAATAAAAAGCGGCAAGGGCTTGAAATGGGCAAGGGGGACTTTAAAACTGAATAAAGTTTATAGCACCATCTACGTTCTATTTTAACACAAGTGATCCCTTTAGCCATTTATATCTTTTAGCAATCAACTGAATATTTTTGGTAGTTAAATGAACAAAAAAAACATTAAAATCTGTACCTAGTCATAAATTAAGAGATTTTGAGGACAATTGGATACCCAATTGTAGATGAACTAATGCCATAGTTTCCATAAAATTTTGTAACAGTCACGAAAACGTTAACCGACCTTGTCTAATCTGCCTCGCCTTATTGCATTGTACAGAACAATGGTTTGGATGAATTAATTTGAATACGTATATGCAAAACATTTCACATCAAGAACTCAAGTAAACATCTAGTACTAAAATAACATTACACGCATACTCGCAAACCTATTAGAACTTAATTTTAGGTTGAAAAGAGCAATTCAAGTGCAAATTATGCTCTGAAAAGGAGACTGCAGCAATGAGAATCCTAGTGAAGATAGAAGAGACAGATTAGTTGTACCTGTCTAAGCCATGGAAGTTACGGTTCCCTAGAGGATTGACATATTAATAGAATTTTTCAAATACTGATGGCATGGCAGACATCACATCTAGTGGTGACAGATGATGGGAAGACCAGAAAAGGGAATAAAGCACTAGAACTCAGAATCACTAAAGTGCCTAGCTGGCAGGGGGATTTTGCAGCAGTGCATAGTGGGAATGTCAACCAGGGATCCATCAACTGGCTAAATGCAGCACCACATTTGCATAAAGAGAAAAGCATGTGATTTTGTAGTGCCTAGTATTTCTTAGGCACAGGACAGAAGGACCGTTAAGGAACGGTTTTTAAAGAATTGTAAGAGTGGAAAGAAAGAACACTAGGTTTAGACTGAAGTTAAGGTGCCGCTTGCCTATGTAGTCCCGTAACCCCAAACAGAATTATTAAGCTGCCCCTGAAATAAATATTAAGGCCTGGTGACCCTTCAACAGTATAATGGCTTTCATGGTCTTACAGCAGCAAAGACATGAATTGCACAGGGGAAACCTCCAAAATACAGCTATGGAGGCCTCTTTTCACCTTCAACAACACAAGATTGTGAAAGCTTCGGCAACTGATTTAAGAACCACAGAACAAAAGAAGTACCCAGCAGTAAAACTCCGTTCCACCCAACCTGGGCCTCCTTCCTAAATACAGGAAGGTACAATACTACTTAAGCTTCAGTGCAGGCCAGGACAGCTCAAAAGAGCAGCTAAAAATAAAAAAGCCCAGGCACAGCTCATACTTCATACACGCTGTGTCTTGTTCTCCTTTAAAAGTGCCCTATACTTATACTAAATAAATAAAACGTAAGGTTTTGGGTAACCCGCAAGGCGGGAAGAGCTACTCAGTGAAGCAGCCATCCATGGCAATGGAACTGTGCCGATCCTTTGTGTAGGGGCAACTGCCACCATTGGGGATAGCAGTCTTGGCAGCGATGCCGCAGTTCTTCAGGAGGTTGAAGCTGAAGGGGAGGATGGCATCTTTTGGTGGGAAAGGCTTCATGGTGGATAGGATAAGTGCCAAGCAATCTGCTACGTCTTTGTTGGGAGCACAGGCCAAGGCCGGGGTGTGACCTGCTGTCAAGAATGAAAGAAAATGTCATGCAAACAATACCGACTCAATGATTAAAAACAGGAAGACAAAATTCTATCACAAATGCTTCCATCATGCTAAAAAGTTGACCGCCATCTTGCACAGTTTCGAATAAGAGTGGTTCAATCTGTAATTTGCTTAATTTTGCCATCACCAACTTGTGCTTGAATGTGCACGCTCCAGGGCTATTTTTAACATTCCTTTACGGCATGACGAGTTCAAATCGCCTGAAACAAGCATGTGCAAGGTGTTGCAAAACCTGATACGTGCATGCATGTAAACGTACCATTACACAGTGAAGCAATGACAAAGATGGCAATAGAATATGCATCTTCAAACCAAGTCAGAAATGGCAGCTAAGACTTGTGCGACATCAAGTTCTGACATAAATAGCAGATTTTCCTGCTTCACGATGATAGAACACAGAAGGGTCTGAAATTCAAAGAATAGGTAAAAAAAAAAAAAAAAAACACTGCCTTGCCAGGGTGGGAAGGTGCATCTACAGTTAATACTTTAGTTATGGATAGAGTAGGGAAAAAATTTAGAACCCCTCACAGATTTTATTGTGGTTGGTGTCCTCATTGGGGCAATTCACACTCTTCATTTTTCCTAGGGACTTTCATAACCAGGACAGAAATTGGTGGGGAATCTTAACCTTGTTTGCAAGCATGGCAGCTGTTCATATTTTAGAAAAGTTGTTATATAATGTGGCCTTTCACATTAAGGACGATGACAGATGGTCAAATCTGTTGCTAGCAATTGTGAGGATGGTGATTTTTCAAAAATCACCAGTGATCGGATTGCGAAGAGGCTGCCTGTTAATTCCCATAGAATTGCTCTGTCTGTAGCTGAGGCAGCAAGAGTTTGTGCCCATCACTAATGATCCAGATTTGGCAGTGTCTGGGCCAGCAAAAGAATTAAATATTACTACATTGGGCTACAGAGGAAGCGATTCATTAGGGAAAAGACAAGCTACCAATTTAGCTATCCCACCCACTGGTGATTTGTTCCTAGCCACAGAATCACCTGTCAGCCTAAACTGAGAGCAACACAAGAAGCACCCATCTAAAGCTGGCCATACACCTTACGATTATCGTACGAAACGTTTCGTCTGATGATCGAACCGCCGTACGATTGTCGTACGGCAGCCCCATCCTGCCCCAATTAAAACACCTGGACGAATTGCGGTAATCGACTGCACGTATTTTCGTTTGCGCATGAGCAGTGTTAATCATACGACTTTTGACGTACGGAAACACCACCAACCTTGCGAAAATCGTACGATCGACTGAAGTTTTCTAACATGCAGGAAAGACAAAAGTCGTACGATTGTACAGTACTGGCGGTTGCACACTACCCATACACCTTACGATTGTCGTACGAAAAGTCGATCGCACACGATTATCGTACGATAATCGTAAGGTGTATGGGCACCTTAACTTTAACTTAAAGATATTTGTTAAAAAGAACCACCTTGCATGGATACAAGCACATCCTAATGACAAGGTAGCAATTTTCAGAGCTACATTGGTGCAATCCTCACCTTCTTCATCCACAGCCAAAACAGTAGCTCCTCTTGTAAGCAAAGCTTGGACAACAGATGCAAGCCCATTTCGAGCAGCAATATGAAGCGGCCTAACAGGAAAAACAGATACCTTTTAGAGAAATGTCTGACATAAGTCTACTATGACACTTTAGAATATTTAGAGCACAATTTCACCTTTGTAAAGTAATGTGCTGTTCGGTGTAAAATGGATCAGCAAACAACTTTCTAAATACAAGTCATTAAAGATTTGTTTAATTTCGGTTAGCTCAGGGCCAGCACTGAGGAAATCCCAATGGCTATGGACCTAGAAAGCAAACTGCCCTGTGCGAAACCAAGTACTGTACCCGAAAAACACTTCCAGGCTATCTCTGCAAGTCCAGACCAGTTGCGGTACTCCAAAAGTTAGGTCGAGAAAGAAATACTGGAAAGCAGCAACTGAGCAGACAAAGCTCCAGCACAGCAGTGATGAAGAAAAGAGCCTTGATTGAAGCGAAAAAAGAAAAAGTGTCTATTCCTCCTGTAGACAGGAGTAGACTTGTGTCTCTCAATGCATTAGAAAGAAAAATGTTTTTTCTTCTCTGAAAACTAACAGCACTGGGCTGTTAGAGCTTAAAACTAACATAGTCATGAATCATCTAAATGAGTACAAGTTCAACTGATCAGGTAACACTCACATTTGCAGCATGCTGTTTGTTGCATTGATAAGGCCAAGGTCCTGGGTCTCCCCTAGAAGCAGCAAGGCACACTTCTCATGACCCTGGGGGAAAAAAAACAAACACAGTCAGATTAGAACAAATCATATGTACAAAGTAAAGCAGCACTGTAATATATAGCTGTCCACAGTGCAATATCAAACTTCTATGAAGAATTGACACAGACACACAGTAAATTGTTTAGTAATGAGTACTATGTTACATTGCTATCTAAGTCAGGATGCAGAGTTTTACATATTCCCAGTTGTCTCAGAAATACTTTCTAAAACTAATATTTAAAAAAAAACCAAACAAAACATTTGTCGTATGTAGAAGAGGCGCTTCCAGTGTAAAATATTGCAGTAAACACCTTGCTGCAGGCTAGGTGAAGAGCAGTGTTCTTGTTCATATCCATCACAGTTAAATCAGCCTTCATGTGAAACAGCAGGAACTCTGCAAATTAGAAGATAATCTACAATCAGTCATCAATTAAAAATTAGAAATATATTATCGAATGTCTGTTGAAAGCACCTTACCCACTGCTGCAGTTCTCCCATTTTCTGCTGCCATCATCAGAGGTGTCCGACCTGACTGGTCAGTGGCATTAACTTCAGCCTGGTGTCGCAGCAGCAGCTGTAAACCATTCACGTTGTCAGCAAAAGCTGCAGCATGAAGAGGAGTCCTAGAAAAGAGAGTCAACATTAAATCCTCAACAATTATATACATGCACTATTTTTTTGCGATCGCACCGGATCACAGGGCACTGCTGTGCTCCCCTCCCGCCCCAGAACGCAGGGAGGTTTACAGTATGGGATCCATGCGTTCAAGCAGTCAACCATGCTGGAACGCACTGGAATTGGTGCAAACGGGCACCAACTGTTACAGGATGAGCAAGGATAGTGGCTGGACCCTTTGACATCAGTTTAGTCAATTCCCCTAATGTTTAAGAAACTGAAATTACAGCTATGGCAGGTTACATAGCAGGACTGGGTAGTGAAAAACAATGCTTTTTAAGGGGTAACGAAGCCTTTGTCAATGAGATCCTTAAATGCTGCTGCATCCTCAACATGTATGGTCAATGTTTTATTACAAGATAACTTCACCTTTAGCAAAAATTAAAGAAATGGATATATTTAAAAATTATGCATTTCTTTAATATTTGCATTCAAGCCTGGAAAGCATTGCAATAGTGATCACTCGATCCCCCCCCCCCCCCATCTCTCCTAACTGAAACTCCGTACAAGCTCTGCCAGTATGAAAATGTGCAGAAGCCTGATCTTTGCAGCTGTGATCGAGTGATCACAATTGCAATGCTTTCCAGGCTTTAATGCAAATATTAAAGAAATGCACATTTAAAAAAAAATATATGATGCATTTCTTTATTTTTGCAAAAGGTGAACTTATCGTTTAAAGGCGGCATATTGCCAGATTCACAGTGTGAACAACCCACTTGTTGATAGATGCCTACTCAAACAGGTATTGGTCTGTAAAGCGTTAAAGAAAAGTAGTTGGCCAAAATAGGCCATCGTTAAGCCTGGGAGCTATGGCAGCTGCCCGCGGTTTCTCCATTCATCCATCAAAGCATGTCTGACAAAGATCCTGGCTGATCCTAGCTTAGAAGTACGCTTACAGCCTCTATGCTCCAAGTCATCGCTTAAAAAAAACAAAACAAATAGAAGAGTTCACTGCTGTACAGAGAAAACTTAATTGAGAACACCAGGTAAAAAACAAACTAAAAAAAACCTTGGTTACTCACAAACCAGCTGAGAGCAGAAGAAGTTTAAATAGCCAACAGTGACCATGCCAATGCAAGTGGCAGCAGGGACTAATTGAGCTGGAACTGCGTGTCCCTTGCCTTGCTGTGCCTCTGTTTTTGAAGACAACCACAGCTTACTAGCACAAACAAGGATGGCTCCATAGCACCCTGCAAGTGAAAGGAGCCACCCTAAAACAGGATGTCAGGACCAGTGCTAAGGGGACCAGCTGACTCTGCAGGAAACAGTTTTAATCTTCAAGGAGCAGCATCCATTATAAGTGATTTCAAATGGCTTAAAACACATTTGTTCACTGAGCCCAGTAAATAAGTTGACGTTGTGCTCACGTCAATCAACCAGTCTTGTGCTAGCCGAAATCTTTTTATTGTCTTCACTAGCCTCGCACATGATCACATATTGAAAGTGAACATAATTTCATCCTTGTTACCATCATTTAGTTAATGTACACTTTCTAATGTAAACATTCACGTAGCCAAATGAACAGCCTCTACTCCATTAGTAACTTTCTGCATTGTCTCTCACACATTTCCATACTTGAGACTGTTGCTGTGATTTTATTTAAAAAAAATAAGTGCATTTTTAATGGCTTTTTTTGTATCAGCCAGAGCTGGAATATTCCCAGTGAATGTAACAGCTGTATAGACGTGCCAGGACCTACTGAAGAGTATTATTATTGTGACTGCATGTGTTATCACTTTATGTGTGTTAATTATATTTTGTAACTAACTGTTGTCTTACATTTGCATAGAAGTTGTATTTGTAAATAAAGCAGAGAAATAAAAAGTGACAGTGCAAAAAAAAATAACAAACACAAACCTCCCTTTGGCATCTCTGCTATTAACAATCTTGGCACCCATAGCTTCTATAAGCATCTCAGCCGTACCGTCTTGGCTGTTTATTCTGTCAGAAAATACAAACATATTAGATGTATTATATATAGGAGGTATAACCCAAACTCTCAAGTATCGCGCAAGAAGTCTGAAAAGTAGAACTCCAAATGCATAGTACTTACACTGCACAGTGCAAAGGGGTGAAAGGGTTTCCTTCGAGGTAAGCAAATGGGTTGTGTTCAAGTAACAATTCCAAACAATCTTCGTGCCCTGGAAAAAACACAAGGCTGGGATTACTTCAACAGCCAAGAATCCTTACATTAAAGCAGAATTTACACAACAGCAAACTGAGCACAAATCTAGTTCATATGCGGGATGCTTATGCAAAAGGTGATGTGTTAAACATCAACTAACCCTTTCATGGTCAGAGCCCTTTTGCTGCTTTTTTTCTCCACACATGTTAAAATGCTGATTTTAGGCTTGAAGGTTATTTTTTTTCCTAATGAAGGTGCTCCCAATGCTTTTTTTAATTTTTATTATTTACCTTTAAAAGAATGTAAAACAACTTTCATAGCATCATATAAGAGACTTGCAAGCCTACTATGTGATGGAACATCAGAGCCGACAGGCTCTCTTTAAGCAGAAACCGAGACACCGGCACTCCAAATTGGCAAGTAAACGTCTAATTATTGACGTGCAGCATAGTAGAAAAAAGCAACAAACTTTTTGGGGTCACACAGGATCCCCTTCATCTTTAAGGTGACATGAGGGGTCTTACTAGGCAACCGATGGGTGGCTTGAATCATCTGAATCACAGTTGGTTTTAGACCTGTCACGAGTACAAAAAGTGAGGGGAAAATTCTGAATAGGGATGGTTAGGAATAAAACAACAAGCAAGGCTCCCCTAAATACGAAATCCCATAAGATGGAGCTGTCTATAATAAAAAAACAGGCAGTACAATGTATCAAAAATTTAATGAAAATAAAGAAATAGAAAACATAAATCAAAATCGCATCAAAAAACCACCAACTGACAAAGACATTTAAAAATCAATAAAAGGCAAGTCCTCCTTAGTATGGCCCGAGTGAAAAAAAGGTGCAGTTGAAAATATATTTTGACCAAGTGGTCAAAAAACTAACTTTAAGCACAAGCGCTGTATAGAAAAAGCAGATACATATGTATCAAATGAAGAGTTAAGGTGCCCATACACCTTACAATTATCTGCAGATTTTCTGTGGTCAGATGGAAAAAGTGCAACAGATTGGCCCAGGTGGAGATTACTCCATCCACATAGTTAAGTGTAGATGGAGGAATGTGTTGCACCTTTTCCATCTGACCACAGAAAATCTGCAGATAATTGTAAGGTGTATGGCCAGCTTTACTCACTGTACAGTGTATTTGGATGGTTAGGCAGTCCCTGCAGGGAGTAGTATTGAAGCTGTGTCCGCTGTGTCCACACGATCCAGACTCTGAAATCTGTTTCAATCAATTGTGGTGATTATCCCTGTATAACGTGTATCCAGTCCTCCTTGTATGCCAACGATTTACCTCCTCGGCAGCGATGGCTGTTTGAAGTCCTTTTCGAAGTTTTCTCACTATAAGCAAATCAAGCTACAGCATAGAAGTGGTGGACTCGGATACCTGCGTCCAATTGTCTATTGGAGGATATTTACTCGCTGTGAGAGCCTGCTGTGTGAACCCACGGATAGATCCCCAGCCGGCGATGTGTTTAATATACCGGCTGTGACAACACTGACAGATTTTCAACCTGCCACGCAAGTGATATCTGATTCATGGATTTCCATCTATCTGTGCCTTCAAGTGCACCCGCATGTGTGGAATAAAATCTTTAAACCTCATCCAGCAACATAGATTGTGGATCACCCTGCAGGTGGATGTCAGTGTGGAGACCTTGCAGCACCTTTCCATCTTGGTCATATCACCACAATTGATTGAAACAGATTTCAGCGTCTGGATCGTCTGGACACAGCGGACAAAGCTTCAATACTACTCCCTGCAGGGACTGCCTAACCATCCAAATACACTGTACAGTGAGTAACTCTTCATTTGATTCATATGTATCTGCTTTTTCTATACAGCGCTTGTGCTTAAAGTTATATTTTGACCAAGTGGTCAAAAAACTATTTTCAACTGCACCTTTTTTTCACTCGGGCCATACTAAGGAGGACTTGCCTTTTATTGATTTTAAATGTCTTTGTCAGTTGGTGGTTTTTTGATGCGATTTTGTTTTATGTTGTTTTCTATTTCTTTATTTTCATTAAATTTTTGATACATTGTACTGCCTGTTTTTCTATTATAGACAGCTCCATCTTATGGGATTTCGTATTTAGGGGAGCCTTGCTTGTTATTTGATAGATTATTGAAACCCAGGAGACCTGTCTTTACCACTCGCTACTATATACGTGACTCCCTTTCCTCTTATTTTGCTGATAGGAATAAAACCAGATTTTCTGTTCACTATATCGAAAATTAGAACATTTTTGTTAGAGTTTTACCTAATAAGAATAGCACTTTCAACACACCGGACTAGAAATGGTTAATTACACCACTATGCTATGAAAAATCATTAAGATGTTAATTGTGTGTATGTTTTCAAGAGAACAAGGTATACTCTACCATTGTAAGCAGCCCAGTGCATGGGAGTGTATCCATTGTAATCCACCACTGCATCTAGTGGGTCTGTAGAGAGTGCAGCCTGCAAGTACACATGTACCAGTGTCGCATGGCCACAAGCTGCAGCAAAGTGAATAGGAGTGCGTCCCTTGTAATCCCGACACAGCACAAAGGCATCATGGTCCAGCAGAGCACCCACACAGTCTTCACAACCAGTTACAGACTACAAGGAGCACAAAAACAATGTTAGTACCCAAAATCAATTGCTGCAAAACAATATTTAAAAAAAAACAAACCCCAAAAAACACAACAAAAAAAAACACACACACATAAGAAAGTTTCTTTTATGTATAATGTTGCTTACTGCTCTGTGAAGTGTGGTTCTTCCTCTTTTATCTCCAGCATCTACAGTGGCTCCTTTCTCCAGCAGCAGGTGAACACAGTCAACATGTCCATTCATCACAGCAAGCATTAAGGGAGTTCTTATAAGCAGAAGAGCAGTAGAATTAGAAATACATTTTTATCTCTCATCAGTCTTCCAGAGAGTAAAATATTAAAGCATAACTTTTTTTTTCTCCCTTTTAGGTCGGAGAAATACACAATTGAAAGCATTTGGTTATATCTGGGTAAAAAATGCCTGTTGATGCTGCCAGAAATCTAGTGAATTCCTAACATCTTGTGCTCTCTGCCTCTTCTGTCTGTTATTAGTTACACTGGTCCCAGATGTAATAACTACATGGCATTTTATGTAGGAGGGTGAGGTGGTATGTAGTCTTGTCCTAGAGTGGCAACACTTGCTGCTCTAGAGCACAGTGAGTGAATGCTCATCTTAGGACAGAGTGTTACTAGCAGGCTCACCAGGTGGAGAAAAAAATAAAAGAAAAACACTAAAAGCAGCCATTGAACAGGAGCAGCAGGATTGAACACTGCCAAAACTCTAAACTAAGCCAGCCCGTGATAATCCCTTCCACTACCAGCATGCCACAGTTTTGTAGCAAAATAGTGCAAAGAGCACAATCATAAAAACAGACTTGTGCCCTGCTATGGACTCCCAAAAAATAAAAAATTAAAAAAAAAACGACAAACCCAACAACAACCACACATCGCAAAACATTTTCCTTTCTCAACCTTGGATCACAGAAATTATTTCACCCCCAGGACATCCAAAAGCAGTCAGAGGGGTGGGCAACACTGAAAACAAAAAACAGAAAACGGCTCAAAGAGCAACCTGAAGGGCCTCATGCCCAAAGCCGCCATCAGATGAAGCCTCAAGAATCACCTGGTAGAACTTAAGAGATTTGTATGAAAAGACCAGATGGCAACCTTGCAAACCTGAGAAACAGTTGCCTGATACGAAGAAGAACTTGCAGATCCGGTAGAGTGTGCCTTGACGGGAGGGTGGAACCCAATCCTTGAGACCATAAGCTTGGATGATGGTCTGCCTGAAGCACCAAGAAATAGTAAAAAGAGAAGCCAGTGAACCCTTAGAGGGTCCTTTTGGAATTACAATCACAAAATCAGTCTTTGACTCCTCGTCTCTATGGAAAACCAGACAAAATCAATTGCAGGATAAGGCCGCAAGAGGTGAGGGCTACAAGGAAAATCATCTTGTAGGTGAAGGTAGAGAGGAATTTGATGGGATAGTCTTTGATGGGTTCAAACAATGGTTTCTGATGAATAGAGATAGCCAGATTCAGATCCCAGAGTCACAGGGGAACAGATGGGGAGCCACATGAGAGGCCTTAAAGAGCAAGAGGCTAACAGCTTCTAAAACACAAAGAGCAAAATACTGGTCCAGACCCAGCTACAGAAAGGAGAGAATTCATCCGATGTTGAAACTCCTAGTGTGGAAGCTCTAAGAGTTGCACCAGTGGAAGTTTGCCTTCCACATCTGATTCATAGCCCTTACAGGAAGTAGCCATCCTAGCCTTTAGCATCAAGTCCCTCAAAACTCAGGCTTCAATAGCAATGCTATTCAAGTCAGCCACCGTGAACCAGGATGGTAAAATCAGTCATTGGAGACAAAATACATTGGCAAAGCCCCCAGAGGGTCCTACAAAAGTCCTATCAGGCCAGCGTGCCATAAACAGCCTGCGCCAGTCCGGGGCAATAAGTATCACTGGAGTGTCCTCAAAAAGAGGAAGTTGCAAGAGAAAAAAAAAAAGCATAGCTCAAATTACCCTCCAGCAGAATGGTCATCGCTGCAAAGATCTGAAATTCCAGAATGAAGATTGGGAGACTAGATTACTCTGGTGACCAAGTCCCTTACACCAACAGAGTGCCCAGAACTCCTCCCCAGCCTGATAGGCTGACATCTGTCGTGATGATATCTGTCGTGAGAGTCTTCCAAAAAAGACAGGAAGGAAGGTCTTCCAAAATTCTAGGGACTGGACTGACTTGTCCCACAACCAGAATGTTGCTCTGTGCAGATCTGGAGTAAAACCGAGCAAATGGGACTGCCTCGAACACCCATCAGGCCCAAGACTCATGAAAAGCAGAGTTGGGGTTCCTCCTGCACTGGAGAGCTGGAATGAGAGACTGTGGATACACAAAAAAGTTGGGTTCCAGCAATAATGAAACTTTAGGATCTATCCGAACCACTGTAGTGTTTGGGCAGTCAAGGTCACAGTCTGACAGATAAAGCCTGTGACATCACCACTCACTACAGTATTACACCATTGCATAGTGCAAACTGGCAGAAAGCAGGAAGTACTAAAAAGGCACCAGAGACAAAAGGTAAATGAGGTAACCAATGGCATGGTCCGACTAGCCTACTCAAGGTTTTCATAGACGGTCCAGCACTCTGGTAATGTCAACAGCTCTGCACTAGGAAAGCACTCTGCAAATAACAGCTTACCAGAATCCAGTGCCCAAAGGTCATTTCCAGACTATCCTTACAATGTTCAGTCCAAGGGGGTACACAAGTGGAACTCCCACTGAGGAGAACAGAACCAGATAGCTGCAAATGTAGAGAAAAGTGTTGATTTAAGAGACACAGACACACAGCTGGTAGGAGGGGTTATGTTGGACTACAGTTTTGTTTATTCTTGGGCTTAGATGCTTTTTATTTCCGATTAGTCACTGTGGGCAACAACATTATAATTAAAGATGTTGTTAACAGATCCCATAATAGGCCCCATACTAGCCAAACGTCTGCAAACAAACCATTTATCCAACCCCTTCTCTTCTATCTTCCCAAACACCAAGACCAATTTCACGCAAATCTAAACTTGCTTCAACAAATTCCTAATTGCTATAGCAGCCGGGAGTCTGCTTACAGAGGCCAGCTGCTGCCAACATGTGGCTTATGTAGGTGGAGGAGGTACATACACCGCAAAAAAAGACTGGATAGGTGTAGTAAGTGCCAAATCAAAGAAGTAACATAACTTTACAGCATTAAAAAGGACCAAAGCTGGGAAGTCCTCAGCTGTTCCATTCCAGGAATTCAAGCAGACAGCCTCCCAAAAAACCCACTGCCATACAAGGCAAAATTGACAATATAGTGGAAAACGACCTACCTGATAGTTTCAATCTAAGATCCAAGCATCCCCCACCAAGATCCACATCCATCTTTTTCCTCCCCTTTTCTTTACACCCATTTCATTAAATCACCTATAAAAAAAAAACACACCTGCTCTATGTAAAAAAAAAAAAAAAAAAAACTTTAACTTTTTCTGCTGGATTGGCTTCAGCGTTTGTGCTGGTAGCCATTTTGATATCCAAACACAAAATTACCTTTACTGTATCTGAGCTGTTGATATAAAAATTCAAATATTTTTGAAAGACATTGCCGTTTGCTTCACTTAATGGCTTCTCCCATATGTCGTTTCTCTGCTTATGGACGGCTCTATAGACTATTGTCACCATTTGTTTCAGTTATGTAATAAGTGTTGTTTCAACAAAAAAACATGATCTAAAGTCATGAAGTGTTTAAAACTCTTTTACAATAGATACACTTTAAAAAGCTCAGGAAAAGCTCTCCAATAATTGACACTCCATGCTCCTTCACATGACATGGACATAGAGAAGTAGAAAGGACTCACTGGCCATGTGCCTCTGTCACATCAGTAATGTCTAGTCTCTCACTGCTATCAATCAGCAGGTGCAGAACATCAGTGTTTCCAGAGGCAGCTAAGAGATGGGGAAAAACAAACAGTCAGTTTACCATTAAAGCTGAACATAAAAACAACCAGACTAAGGGAGACCATTACTCCTTTACACAACACAAGCCACAATTTCTGGAAACTAACCTGCTACATGCAATGGGGTCCATTTCTTTTTGCGGTCCTTGATAAATGGAGAGGCCCCATGGCTCATTAGAACCTCCACACACTCTGTGGATCCCCTTTCTGTGGCGAGGTAAAGAGCAGTGCGGCCCTTGTGGTCACGTACGTCCAGGTTCACCAGCGTTTCTGCTAAAGTTTTCAGGGCATCATAATGACCATAGTAGGCCTGTGAATATATAAAGTCAATTACGTTAGAGATCATATGAAGAAAACTGCAGACGAGTCAATAGTGGAAAGTTTAACAAGAATACAATTAAAGCCTGGAAAGCAGAAATCACCAGCACTCCGTAAATATCTTTGATGTCCATTTAATTGGACCAATCGTCAATGGTCATGTAGAAAATTGCGACGTTTCGGGACAGCACAGGATCCCTTCATCAGGGCGGCAATGTAACAATTGCATGTAGCAGGTTAGTTTCCAGAAATTGTGGCTTGTGTTGTGTAATGGTCTCCCTTAGTGTGGTTGTTTTTATGTTCAGCCTTAATGGTAAACTGGTTGTTTTTCCCCATTTCTTAGCTGCCTCTGGAAACACTGATGTTCTGCACCTGCTGATTGATAGCAGCAAGCTTGTTACATTGTCACCCTGATGAAGGGATCCTGTGCAGTCCCGAAACGTCGCTATTTTCTACATGACAATTGGTCCGATTAAATGGACATCAAAGATATTTACTGAGTGCTGGCGATTTCTCCTTTCCACTGTTTGTTGCACGGTGCCATCCGTGATTGTCACTGCGAGCACCACTACAAGTACTTGAGCCAGGAGCGCTGTGAGGAGTGCAGAGGGACTTACTACTTTCTACAATTAAAGCCTCTCTTGTCTGAAACTAGTTTTACAAAGCTCAGGGCTACGTGCTGCCAACTGAGAATGCCCAAGTAGCAAAAAATGGCACGTTTAATGGAGAGGGGAATTAGTGTTTCTTGGGCTTATTCCGGAAGGCCCCGAGTTGGAAAGTGTGAGCCATTTCAAAACAAAAAGGAGGACATTCAAACCAACAGAGCCAATTAGCAGGAATCTTGCAGCATCTGTTCTTAAAGCAAGAATATTGAATATTTATTATGGACAATTTAACTGAAATTAAATGCATAGCAGTGTTATCCAATATATTTTCTATAACACGGTCAAACAAAACAATTTAACTTTTTTCTTCTTAGCTAGGTGAATCTGAAAAATTGCCATCTCATTTCCTGCCAGATGGAAGAGCCATTGGCAGGACATAGGAAAGGCACACGTTTACTTTAAACATCTCAGGACTGCCCACCGCCAAAATACATCCTGGTCCTGAAGCGGTTATGCTGCCGCAGCCGTGTTCTTGGTATCACTTTAGGCCCCGTTCCCACTGCGCAATATGCAAATCGCGCGTTTGTTGCGCGATTTGCATATTGTGCGACATCGTGAGATTTGCAGCGCGATATTGCGATCAAGCTTGCATTGAGCAAGCTTGAATCGCGGCTAAATCCGCTCCAAAAAAGGGTCCTGCTGTAGCGACACGACCCGCGACAGCAGGACCCTTTGCCCCATTGAAATGCATCGGAGCGCGATATCGCGCGGTAATTTGCCGCGATATCGCGGGAATTACAGCGCGATAAATCGCTCGATGTGAACGGGGCTTTAAGCAGCCAGCGATGGCTGTTTAGACACAAGCAATCCGGCGCCTATACAGCTGCCGGATCGCTTGTACAGTGTGGCCAGCAGGGTTGGTATCTATTTACCCGACGTGACCCATCTTTTATATATCTTACCAAAAAATTATGTATTATATGCTGTCTGTGAATAGAAATTAGCATTTTTTTTTTTATTCTACAGGGCCTCTGCTTTCAGAAAATATATCATTGTTGGGAGTTTAAAGCATTTTGTTAGCCAAAACGTCTGATTTTATCATGTGTGTGCAAATAATAAGAAATTGCCATGAACAGCAAGTACAAGGAGAGTGCACAAAACTGGCTAGTCCATCCAAAGTGGATAGGTTGATTTTCAGTAGATGTTGGTAGGCTGCATTACTCTTCAGTCTGTTGCACCTTTTGAGAACTCAAGCAAAGAGTTTCATCAACAGTAGTAGCCATTAAAGGGGGAAGAGGGATGTTTCCACAAATATAGCATAGCGGAGCAATTCAGTGCGTCAGGAACTTCCTAAAACTGAAATAATGTTTCTTTTGGTAAAATCATGCAAAATAAAAAAAGATTTCTATGTCAGGCCCACTGGGCATCTCACTGTAGCTAAACTGCCGCTTGCTCCCAAAGAAAACAAACCTTACAGGAAAAGCAATAAGGAATCCTTGTGCCTAGAGATTTTACAAGCAAGAGGTTCCCCACCCTCTAAAGCATTTTGCCCCACGAATAGGCAGTCTGTATGATCAAGTTTCATTGGCAAGGAGAACTGCGTTAACCAGAGAAAGGCTTTGCAGTGCAGGACCTCATGCTTTTTTTACATGGTTTAATATCCAAAGATTTCCAAGAGTACTCATTGTTTGCAAACTAGTATTGTTAGATCTCGATTTTTTTGTTACAGAATTAACAAGGACATTATTTTGTAGAAAATGTCTAACAGCTTCAGGTTAGCTTGAGAGGGATGAAGAACAAGATAGGATTCATACAAAAATAAATGCCACCTCTTACCATGATAGCATTGCAGTATAGAAACAAAGCCCGAGCCACACAATAGCAAAGAACCATTTTGCATAAGCTATTGGCCAAAATGTACTTCAGTTATTTAAAATGTAAAGGACTGCTACCGTGTTTCCCCGAAAATAAGACAGTGCCTTATTTTCTTTTTTGCACGAAAAAAGACACTAGGTCTTATTTTCGGGGGATGTCTTACCTGGCTGGACGTCCCAGAAGGCGGCGTACAGTCAACAGGTGACAACCCACAAAAGGAATAGAATAGAACAGTGGTTCTCAACTCGTGGGTCGCGACCCAAAAGTGGGTCGCGACACCCTCTGCAGTGGGTCGCGGCGTCATGTCTATAGACGGGCCTGAGACTGAATAGAGAGGGGGAATTTGTGATTCAGCCTGTGGAACCTCATGTCAAACTGTCCCCTCTCCCCCGAAATAGAATATACTTACAGCTAAGTGCAAAGGGCTAACTGGTACAGTGCTTTCCACATCATCCAGGCAGTTAAATGACATCTCTAGGAGCTAAAAGAGAAGATAATTTTCAATCAGGCATAAAGAGCAACAAGGATGTCTAGTATGAGGTGATCAGAAGCAGTAGACACTCACTAGTTCCAAGTTCTGTCTGTTACCAAAAGCAGCTGCGTAGTGAACAGCAGCATATCCCTGTTTATCACGAATCGAAGGGTCGGCATTGTTGTCCAGCAGGTATTCTAAGGCACTGCAATAAAATAAAAAAAAAAACAAAAAAAAAAACACACATTACAGAAAGACTACTAAAAACGTTTTATAGGTAACTGTGCTTAACCAAACTGGATATAGCTAGCACACACTAAATTTTGTCAATATATGTCATGCTCAATATGATTACAACCAATTAAGTGGCTTTAGACCACTTGTCAGCCATAGAAAGCTACACATTTTTTAACTAAAATCGCTTTCTAAAAACCTTTCCAAACCTTTCCCAGCAAAAAAACAGTACACTGAAATCCTTACAGTAGTAGACGATTAATTTTTAAATATCTGCATAAGAACCTAGTAAGTTAATTGAAGAATATTGGTTCTACCATTCATAAATTTTTTGAAAACTTAACTGAAAACTGTAAACACCTACATGAAAGCCTCCTTTTCCAGCGAAGCCTTCTCATCCTCTTTCCCGGACTCCTGCCTTGTCACAGAGTTAGACTCCATTGATCTTAGAGAGAGAAAAAAAAGTATGTTAAGAAGATGTACATGGCATCTAAGGTACATAATTAATTTCTAACAAAATGACTTGCATATTTTCCACCACTTCCAGTAATATAATTTCTATAAAACACAGCTTTGAATACAACCTGAAATATCATACACTTTTTTTAGGTTCTGAGGAAAGGGGTTTAACCTCTGAAATGCGTCAACCGGAGGAAGATCAGTTTCTAGATGGCCTTGGCTTAAACACTTTCTTCTGATTTCTGCGCTTCGTTCATTCGTTTGTTCATCTTGATCCACTTGAGACCGTTTTATTCAATGCTCGTTTTTCACAGTTGTTTGCAAGTAAATTTCCAGCTGTATATAAGTGCTTTTATTAACCACTTAAAGGCCATAGTGTTTCACCCCCTTCCTGGCCAGGCCATTTTTCAGTATTCAGCGCTGCGGTACTTTGACTGATGTTTATTCTGTCATGCAACGCTTTACTGAAACGATTTTCATACCATTTTTTGGGGACAGATAGAGCTTTCTTTTGGTGGCTTTTATTCACCAATGGGGTTTTTATTTTTTACTATATAACAAAAAAAGTAGCCATGGACGTAAGGTGGTTAAATATGTTTTGCACTATGGAGGCGCTCCTTTTTGCTCGGTTTTCCTAGATAACCGGTTTGCCCTGACTGAGGAGCTGCCCCTGAGTGTTTGTAGCGGAGTTCAAGAGTTGTCACGGTTTTTGGCGCCAGTGATTTTTTTTATCCACACTTATTTCTGCATATACTGTTTAAAGTATATCTAAATATATATTTTTAATACCTGGATAGAGTAGGTACTGGATAAACCCACCGGCTTCATTTTGCTATCTGTCCCACTAGGGAGATTTCCTTCACATACTGTCCAGGTTTATTAATGGTTATAGGGTTAACATTTTCAAATACGTTACGCAGTGAGCAGTGAGTAAATTGGCTATGGTATACACAGTCCTCATCTGTGCAAGGGATATGGCAGATTCAAGAATGACCTGTGATGGCTAGGCAATATAGGAGTTTCCTAGAGAACAATTACAAGTGCTTCAGATGAAAAAGGATATTGCACACAGATTCTCCACTCTGTTGAATAATCTCTTGGGAGAGAGGGTTACCACTGTGCCCTTTTCTATGAAGAAAAGTAAAAATGGTATTTTGTTTGATTTTACCCACCAGTCAAGGTTGAAGAGAAGACTGCAGAGAGTCTTGGTGGCCCCTTTTTCACTTACGTTAGTTCAAAACTTTCCTCCCTACCACTACTTCCAACTTCAGAGTGCACAGACAGCTTTAAAAGATATAGTAAATAGAAGTGTGAAAGAGTTAAGTTACCTGGACTTCTCTGTCTGGCGTGAAGCCTTAGAAACAGTATTAGGAACCCTAAAAATAAAAATGTGACAAATTATAGAGTGCCAAGATGAAAACACACACACAGTACATATTAAAAATGTGAAATCCAATCTACAGAGTAAGCAGCAATAAGGAAAAGATCCTCACATTGCTAAGCAATCACACAGTAAATAGATTATAACCATCATATGGGTTTTATACAATATTTAGTGTCCAAGAATAAATAGTTTTCTGTAAAATCCGATCCATGATGCTAGCAGGAAAAACAAAAAACACCCCTGTTCATGTAAAGAAGTTATTAACGTGACACTAAAGTCACAAGTTAAATCTTAAAAATGTATTTAAGTACGTTAACTATTAAAAAAATGTATCTTATTTGTGTATCACTCAGCTGTAGATCCTCAAATTATCTCCGAATTGGTGCTGACACTGTCCTTCCTTCTGGAGGGTGGCTAATTTTGTTCCCCACGGTCCCCGTGTCCTGTAAAGTAACTTCTCCAAGCTCTCTCCCGTGATGGACTACAATCTCAATACAAAATTAGTAAACCAAAACGTGAGATTGTAGTCCATCACGGGAGAGAGCCTGGAGAAGTGACTACTTTACAACACACACGGGGACCATGGGGGAAGACCCTCCAGAAGGAAGGACAGTGTCAGCACCATTTCAGAGATGATTTGAGGAACTACAGCTGAGTGATACAAATAAAATACAGTTTTGTTATTTTAATGCATTTTTAAGATTTAACTCCCAAGTTTAGGGTCACTTTAAATTTATCGCATATGTACTCACCTCCTGTAGGTATCTGAAGCAGCAGCATAGTGTAGGGGAGTGCAGCCTCTATAGTCTGCCACATTAATACTAGCGCCAGCATTCACCAGAGTCGTTGTGCACTGGTAGCTGCCATTAGCAGCGGCATAGTGCAGCGGAGTCCTAGAACAAAAAGGTAAAAGAAGAGCTTAAAATGTTTTTCTTCTTTGCATGCACTCTTAATAGTACTTGGAACACACACTTTTTTTTTTTTACCATACACCTAGCAACATGATTTCAACCTATTCGGTTTGTAAGGTGGGTGAGGGATGGTTGTAGCAAAGTTGGCACTATAAAGTTGATTGGGAAGATTAGAAAATATTTCCCAATGTTCTATTCATCTCTGCCAATAAAAAGGTAGATGAATAGAGAATCTAAAAGTTTGAGTATTATTATTATACAGGAATTATATAGTGCCAACAGTTTGCTCAGGAAGATATTCCCTCAACTCTAGTCTCAGGGAAAACCATAACTTTTTGGTCTTTCCCATCAAAAGCAATAAAACTTGGCCAGTCAACAGAAGCAGCCTCAGCATGTTACCTTAAACTGCATTTACACACATTAGGGCCTCAACGGTAGAATGTTTCCTTAGATCATAAACAAATTTTACATTAAGCTATATGAACCCTGTATTAGCAAGGTTAAGCTCACCTTCCAAATTTATCTTGTCTTGCCAAATCAGCGCCACTGCTAGTCAACAAATTAAGACATTCAATGTTTCTGAAAACAGAGGTGGTGACAAGTAAGAATAGCTGTGAGGTTATGCACATAAAATCCTCAATGAAAAAAGGCCATTGTACAGATAGGTCTTTACACATGATTAACTCTGTATGCTGCTCTATATTCAACAAGATCAGTTTTAGTCAGTCAAACATAAGAATCCATGTCAAGGCAATCTAGCAATACAGAATTAATATTGTGCACTTCATCTCAGGATCACAGTAGAATTATGCATGATAAACTTGAAGCACCCATTAAACAATGTTAGCTCCTAAGTGGTTAACATTTTTTTGGGGGGCTCCTTTGTACTGGTCTACATATAATTGTGTGTCTGTGCACGCTTTTGTTAGGTATAATAGTTGCACTGATAAAGAACTGCAGGGGGAAAAAATTTTTTACAAATAAGTGCTCGTTTGTGTCTAGGTGCTAAAATAAAAAAAGTTATACTCGCCAGACTTTGAGGCAGCTTGTTCTTTCTTAGACTGGAGCGTCTCTTCCTCTCTGCTGCAGCGCTCTAAGGATCCTGGTGTCATCATGCTCTATACACTGTGCATAGTGATGAGGACGCCAAAGAGCTGTCACATCTGTGCAGCACAGGAGCAGACACACTTCAGTAAAGAGAGAAGTGGGGACCCAGCTTGGATAGTCTGGTGAGTATAATTTTTTTTTTGAGCAGCTAGACAAAAACAAGCACTTATCCCTTGCAGTGCAGGAGTAGCCCCACTGTAAGGGTTAATAACATTTTGAGCCAGAGTTCTTGGTGAACTACATCTACCTGGATTTATACATGTACTGTGTGCGTTACAGAACTGTACTGTTTATGTAAACATTTTACGACTAAGGAATTCATGAAGATCAATAAAATTTCATGGGTAACACCCCATCAATGGCTCACCCTCCTGAAGCAGCAGCATGGAGACAGGTCCTCCCGAGGTTGTCAGGTGTATTGATATCAAAGCCGGCAGACAGAACATGTTCATTGCTCAGTGAGGCCACTATACTGTACAACTGACCTGAAATAGGGAGATTAACTGTTAGAGAATGTATAGTGGTTTTGTACATGTTTAATACAGTTATTAGCCCCACAGCCCTGTGCAAGCTTTGAAAAGACGTTTGTTTAGAGCCTACAGAAGGCCTTTCTTCCCAGTCCCATAAGTCAAACTGAGAAGCAGGGAGCAAGAAAAAAGGTAAATAAATGGTACTAGAGAGTGGGGCTGACAATTTTACATTGCGGTAACATTATAGAGGCAGTAAAACTTTTTTTTTGCAATAGGTCACTTACCTGAGGAAAGTAGCTTACGGCAACAGTCTGAGAACCCATAGAGAACAGCTAAGTGCAGGGGGAACATGCCATGAACTCCACGTCTGTAAAAGATAAAGGCCAAAGATGACTGCTTGAACAGGAGGCACGCAAATACGTGTGTGTGTGTGTGTGTGTGTGTGTGTGTGTGTGTGTGTGTGTGGGTGTGTGTGTGTGTGTGTGCGCGCCCCTATGATGGGGGCAAAGTCAATGTCCTCCTAAGAAATTAATGCCATATTAGAAAGTGGATTCAAGTGATCTTTACAGAAATTGTTTTTACATATGATGTCACTGAAAAGGCAAAAATTAGTTAAAACTACATTTCTGTATTTTAGTTTAGCCATTTTAAAATGCAAAAGGTTGTGAAACCTCACCTTGCGGTGTCCGCACCATTTGTCATCAAAGTACTAATTAGCAGCTCATGCCCATATCTAGCAGCAACATGCAGAGGAGTATTGCCATATTTATCAGCACAGTCAATTTCACCACCTGCAGGGAACATGAAAGTCAGACATGCGTGAGAACACGCACTGGTAACATTATGACATATGGCTGGGGAAAACGGAGAAGAAACATACCATTCTGAATCAGAATCTGGGAACGTGTAAACCTTCCATGTATGGCAGCCATGTGCAAAGGGCTCTTTCCTTCTTTACTCTGCAAACACAAGGGATACAGTTAAAAAGGGAAATTCTAGCTCATAAACAGGTTTTCCAAGAATGTTAATAACATCTGCAAACTGGAAAGCACCTTCAGTTTCTCTTCACCGAAATGTTTTAAATCCATATTATTAGTCAAATGTTTTGGCTTTTAAATATTCAGGTATGAACTCAAGAAATCTGCTTCAGCTACTTGTTCACCGACATGCAAAAATATAAATAAATATCATGGGAGCATGTGGCTCCATTACAATACTCAGAAGCATTAAAACGTGTATCTGCTGGCAATATTAGGCAAACAGCTGCTTAGAGCAAAGTTTGTGGAGGGTCTGGCTGATCTGCATTACGTGGAAAATTGCAGTTGTCTGCCGTGATCCATGCCACAGCGATTTCATCCAGTTTTTATATTTGCCTGCCAATTATGTGTGTTACAACAGACCATTATTAGGATCATCCCCTCTGGCGCAGAATAAGTTATGGTAGTGGCTGCTACGGTTACTTTCACATTCTACACCATTCAGAAAGCATTAGTAAATTACAATTAGTGTAGGAGACTGCTGCAGCAGAGCTGGGCTCTCAATATCATCTATAATGAAAGGTACTAACCAAATTTACCAGTGTAGTTCTGTATCCGAGATGAGCACCAGTAACACACTGCCAAATCATTAACCAAACTGCTAGCCTACTTGTACTTGTTAGCAAAGCTTAAACATGCTACTTTTTCACTCAGGGGAAACGCAACGGTAGCATTTTGCATATGGCAATTTTGTATTGCCATTACAAAATGCCTATAGTGGAGACTTCCAGGCTATGATTCTACATAGCTGCCAGCAAAATTACTGCACAACTCAGGTCCAAACCAGTGCAGCATACTGGAAACAATAGGAGGCCATCATTAAATGGACCAGCATCTTGGTCCAAGAAGAACATGCTGACCCTGAATTGTGGCACACTACAAAGGAAAAGAGCATTGCAGTACTGCAATTCCTTCAAAATAATTACCTGCGAGTGTTACATAAAACACAGCTTGAATATACTTAAGAAAAAAAAATATATTAAAAACTAAAAAAAAAAAATTGGTTTTTATATGCAAATCTATGATTACAAATAAATGTGTTAGCACAATATGAAGCACAATATGAATGGCAAACCAAAACTGCTCCTCAGCAGGAGGAGAAAAAAAAAAAAAAGGAAAAACCAACCTGATAATTTACATCAGCTCCATTGTTAACTAGCAGCTCCAGACACAGTGCCCCATTTGTGGAAACAGCAGCAAAGTGCAAAGGGGTAAAACCTTTCTCATTAGGCTGGTTGACATTGGAGCCATAGTTGACTAGTTCATTGGCCACAGCGTCCTGACCCATGTAACAGGCAATGTGTAGGGCAGTGTTCCCGAAGCAATTGGGCTCATCAATCTGAATAAGAAAACAGGTAATTAGAACTCAAAAATAAATACAAGTTAAAAAAAAAAAAAAAAAAGCTAAAATCAGTTTCATCCAGGGTTTGAAGACCCTCCAACATTTCATCACATCTTCTAGTCTTAAAAGGGGTGGGATTTTGCCCAGAGTTCTGATTTAAACCCTTCGTGACTGACGACGTACTGTGTACGTCGCCAGCATCAGGGCTGTTTAAAACAGACTCAGCTGTCGGGACTACGTTTAAACTTGTAAAGCCGACTGTCGGCTTTACAACAGAAGCGATTCTGGCGACTTACATGAATTCAAAGTAAAGTAAAAAAAAAAGAAAAGAAGTTTAAATTAAAAATTAAATAAATCTAAAAAATTAAAAGTGCCCCGCGAGCACGCGCGTCGCCACGTAAACACGCGTCGGGTGCGCCTACGTATGAAAACGACGAACGCGCTACACATGTTGGGTATCGCCGCGCACGCCGAAGTGAGAGCAATAATTCTAGGGCATCTCTAAATTGATGACCTGTGGGGGCTTTTAAAGCGTCTAAGGACTTTTTGGGGTACTGCAGTTTTTCGCCATTTTACGGACGCACGCAATTTGTAACCTGGGCATGTTGGGTATCATTTTACTTGTAACCTCATCTTTTATATTTCATTAAACAAATGGGTATTTTGTTGTGTTTTGGGGCATTTAATTAAATTTTTCACTAAAGGTTGGGGTTTAATAAGGGGTTGTGCTAATATTGCGCAACATAAAAATTTGCAACTACCACCACTTTATTCTATAGGGTCTTGGCATTATATAACGTTTGGGGGTTTAAAGTCATTTTCAGTCCTAAAATGTGGAAAATAACATGGGTGCAAAAAAATAAAAAAGGCCTGTCATGAAGGGGTTAATCAACCACTAAGCAAAAACCAGGTGGGAGAAAACAGAACAGTTAAACGGTCAACAAAACAAAAAATGTCTGAGGATATCCAACCCTTGACCTCAAGGTAAGGGATGCTGGACAAAGTATATCCCAACCACGCAATGAACAGCTAGGGGTTAATGGAGCACCCATAACCTTTGACCCTAGGTAAAGGAAACCCATAAGAAGGAAAAAAAAAAAAAGGAAAGATGGAAAGAAAGGGGGGGGATCTTTGATGTGAAACAAATAGAGCAGAGTACCAAGCCCTTTAGGGAAGAAAATGATTTCCCAGAGATATTTAATGGGTTTTAAATGAGGCACAAGCCAACATAAAAACACAAACTCTAGACATGCACAAAAGAGAGAAAAAAATATATACACATCAGTCCCCATGATGGGGGCCAAATGCCATATTAGAATGCGGATTCAAGTTATCTTAACCGAAAATGTTTACCTTCAGGGAGTGGTCAACTGTGCACCTTTGCTTGTGTGACAAAGAAAAGAGTTTACCATTCAAATCTATGAGCAGCTAACGAAGACAGGCCCTGAACACCGGAATATTTTTCAGATTAAGGTCATTTGAACTAACAAAAGCTCAGCTTTATTATCACATGATAAATTAGAGCAGAGCAGAGAGGAGGGAAGTATTTATGGGATAATCCCAGCCTACGTTTGTTTCAAACAGTTAGCAAATATTTCCATAATCCCCAGGAACGTTAGCCATAAGCATTACAATGCCTCCTGTTCACCAATATCTACGTTGTGCAAGGGCCTAATGGAGTTGTCATAACTGAACAGATTGATTGTAGTGTTATGGTCTACTTATAGTGGTTGGCAAATCTATAAACGTGACAAGGCCAAGATTTACCCATAAGGTTTCTCCAAACTTCCAGGTAAGAAGCACAAAAGGTGTGGTAATTATTAAATATATTACCTGTCATTTTATAACCAGATGTTATCTGAAACAAATCAGTACACTTAAGGACACTTGGGGATTAGCTTTTAAATGCCAAATGTTAAAATTAACCAATATGTTTCTCTTAACTTTTTCTTCAGTCACTGCATCCTTTAAAAGTATGCAAAATCTTGAGGCACCCCAATCAAAAAAGGTGCCCATACACTGGCGAAATTTCAGCTGGTTTTTATGTACCAGCCCAAATCCACAGTGTGTGTGGGGGTGTCAACTCCCCTTCAGCCGGCTCCTTCGATCAGCTGATTGAAGGAGCCAATCAGAATACAGATCAGAGCTGCCAGCTCCGATCGGTATTCTGACAGATGGCGGCAGCACTTCTCAGAATACAATGCAAACAGCGGTGACTCCTCGATCGACGCGCTGTGCGTGTTGGAGGAATGGCATTAATTTCTTTCAGCCCGCGGGTTAAAACGAAAGAAATTGACAGGTGTATGGCCAGCCTAAAAGTGCCCATACACCTTACGATTATCGGACGATTTTCGTATGCGCTCGACTTTTCATCCGATAATCGTATGTGTGCATTGCAGTGTCCGACTGACATTATTGTACAATCGTACGACTTTTGACGGTCAAGCATGTTTGAAAACTTTGCTAGATCGTACGATTTTCGTAAGGTTGCTGGCATTTCCGTCCGTCAAAAGTCGTACAATCTACACTGCGCTTGCGAAAATACGGCAAAATACTGCATTTCGTCCAGGTGCTTTTCGTTAATTACGGCTAAATTAATCTTGCGATCATCGGGGCAGGATGAGGCTGCCGTACGAAAATCGTACGACTATTCGATCGGACGAAAAGTTTCGTCCGATAATCGTAAGGTGTATGGGCATCTTAAAAAAGAGAACTATGGGGTTCCATCTTTTTTTTATTAATGCATTCCTTAGGCTAAATAAGTAGATTATGTAATTTACTCTAATTAGCCAAAATGCACAGTAAGGCTGTAAACCCTTATTTTAAAAAGACTTTTATTTGCCCTTAAGTCATAGTTCTCCTTTAAGGCTCCCCATATTACATTCTGACCATGCAATCTGTGTAAAATCAACTTTAGATCTACCAAACCTGTGTAACCTTTAGTAGATCTAAAGGAGATTGCACAATCAGATTTTCACTTATGTGGTGAGCCAATCAGTCAATGATTTATGAATCCTGCACACAGACCAACATATTTTGCAATGATAGTGCGTCAAATAGTAGAGTATATACAGAGACATAGGATTACAGTTCCTGAAAAAATAAAAGATTCTAAATCATGGAACCCTCATTTTAAAATATGGACTGTAAAACGCATCACCTACAGCAGTTTTATGATCAAAAGAAATAAAGTGCACCAATCAGCTCACCTCAACACCTAATTTCAGTAAATACTTCACAATGTCAATCCTCCCACTAGAGGCAGCTGCATGGAGGGGCGTGTAACCGTTTTTATCCTTTGACATGGCATCAGCTCCCCGAGATATCAGCAGCTTTGAAATCTCCAGGTGTCCTGAAAAGAAGTAGACAACGATCAGAGAATGGAGGGTAGAATAGGTGCAGCTGAATCAGCTTTGTACTATTCCTGGAGCAGTTTGCAACTGACAACGGTCACAAGTGTAAGAAAACAAAAAAAAAATTTAATTAGAAGAATCATTTTTTACAAATCTATAAATAATAATAATAATAATAATATATATAATTATTACACACACACACCTCATGAGATGGACTATAAGTAATGAAAAAAACAAAAACACAAGAGATCTAAAGTAATTTACAGCTGGACACACTTTTTCCCCTACATTTAGCCCAGCTTGGGGCAGGCAGTAGGGCTAAAATTTAAAAAGGCAGAGCCGTTGTGTACAAGTGATCTTGAGCGGCTGTACAGCCGTCCAAGATCATTTGTAAGCAGCCTGTCGCTCCCCCTCCCCGAACACCGCCTCTCTCATTGGCCACCGTCTGTCACCTCTCTGCCGGCCGTGTTTTTTTCAGGGACCCAGGCAAATTAGTCCAAGATGGAGAGAGGGGAGCAGAGTGGAGAATGTCCGTTCTCTACGTGAACACAGACAAGAACACTGCCCTTGCAGCCTTCCCATCTCAGCGGTCACAGGAGATCGTGCTACAACTCCTGTATTGGAAGAGACAGGTTCCATAAAGAGAACCTGAATCCTAGCACACAGGGGTTTGTTAACTTTATTACCATCGCACAGAAACTAAAGTGAAAACAATTATTAAAAAAAAATTTAAAACAAATTAAAAAGTCAAGTTAAAAGTGATCAAAGTAAGACAAATAAAAAAATAAAAAAAAAGTGATAAAAGTAAAAAA